GAAAGATCTTTCCATATAAATGTGTGGAAAGCATATTGAAGTTGGGTGATGGAAGAAATGGGGAGACTGGTGTGGAGGCTCTTATCTAGGCAAAGGTGATTCTGTCTTTAAGTACAGTGATGGCAATGGGGATGGACAACAATGGGCTGGAGGCATTCAGGAGGTAAAACCAACAGCACACGGCAATGAGGTGGATGTAGGAAGGTGTCAAGGATGGGGCTTAGGTTTCCGTTTCGTAGAGCAACATGATACCATTGGGTGGAGAAGGGAATTTAGGGAAAAAACTAGGTTTGAGGGAGAGTTCAGGGTTGGGGGGTGTGCAGATCATGAGTTCAAGTTTGGGTAACTCGAGTTTGAGCTGCCATTAAGAGAGCCATGTGGAGACGCCAAGGAGACAGTTGAAAACGTAGGTCTGGAGGTCAGGGGACTAGCTTAGGATGGATGTGTACATTTAGGAGTTGCCAGGTGAACAGGTGTTAGCTGAAGCCATGAACTTGGAAGAGATTTCTCCTTTGGGAGTGTGGATTGAGAAGAAAGTATAGCCTAGGACCATGTCCAGCATACCTGCCCAATTGAGAGGTCAGGGAACAAAGGAGAATAGGAGGAAAGCCTAAAGAAGTAGCAGTGAAACCAGGAGAGCTTGGTGTCATAAAACCAAGGGTAAATGAGTACCCCATGATAAAGTGCTGCAGAGAGGCTGAGTGAGAGGGGGAAAAAAGCCGTCCGTTGAGTTTCACTGTCTGGGAATCCCCGCTGACTATGGTTGAGCTGTTTGTGTGGACTCAGTGTGGAGTGAGGAAATGGAGCTGTCTTGTTTGACAAGTTCTGTCATTTATCTTGCTTTGGACTTGATTTTTGTATCACTTGCTGTGGCCAGAGGAGGGTCCAATTCAGTTGAGGATCTCCCAACTGAAAAAAAATGAATAAGTGACAATCTCACTGCACTAGTTTTGCACGTGCTCCCCACAAAAGCCCAGTGGGCAGAAGGCTGTGAACTGTAGTTATCGACTTTCCACATTAGGGCAGTAAAGTTTGGTATGCTCAAACACTCCAGATTCTTACTGATTTTTTTTTGGTTGGATCTAGTATGTACTGAGACTCAGAAAACACTACCAATAAAAGATAAAAAAAAAGCCCCTGATAAATTGAGTTTAATCAAAATGAGAAACTGCTGTTTATGAAAAAAAAACACTGAAAAAAACATTAAAAGACACACCAGAGACTGGGAGAAAATATTATCTACGTCCAAGTCTTTTATCTGCCTGAAATGGGCTTATAGCCAGAACATATAAAAAGCTCTTAAAACTCAAAAATAAGAAATTAAAAGATGAGCAAAAGATTTAAAAAGACATTTCACAAAAGAAGGTATGCTGCGGCTACTGCTAAGTTGCTTCGGTCGTGTCCGACTCTGTGTGACCTCACAGACTGTAGCCCACCACGCTCCCCCACCCCTGGGATTCTCCAAGTGAGAACACTGGAGTGGGTTGCCATTTCCTTCTCCAATGCATGAAAGTAAAAAGTGAAAGTGAAGTCGCTCAGTCGTGTCCGACTCTTAGCGACCCCATGGACTGTAGCCCACCAGGCTCCTCCATCCATGGGACTCTCCAAGCAAGAGTACTTGAGTAGGTTACCATTTCCTTCTCTGAAAAGAAGGTATACGAATGGCCAATAGGCTGTTCTTCAGACACCCCAGACCCCCTGGTTTTGACACCTTCACATAGGCCCATCTCTGCACCAGGAATATTTTCCCTGGATAGCGGCATGGCTCCCTGTTGATGGTCTTCAAGGGGCGCCTGGCTTCCTCCTGTTACTCTTGCTGGCTCTTGCCGTAATCATTTCCTCTCCCTCTTGCCTACTGCGTGTCCTGGGGACAGCATGGTTGTGTTCAATGTACTTGATGTGATAATCATTTTCCTGGTATACACACCTCCCATCCAGCTTTCTCCTACAACAAAGAGGTCTGGTGTGAGAAACCAACAAGATACTGCATGTGACTTCCAAGGCTGAGTTATAAAAGACACTATAGCTTCCACTTGGCTCTCACTCTGGGAGAAGTCAGGTGCCATGTTGTGAGGATGCCCGAGGAGCCCCGTGGAGAGGTTCCTGCGGGGAGGGAGCAGAGGCCTCTTGCCCACACCCTGAGCTAACCTGCAGGGTTAGCATGTGAGTAAGTCACCTTGTGAAGACCTTCCTGCCCCAGTGAAGCCTTCAGATGACAACTAACTTCAGCCTCATTGCAGACCCTGAGCTGGGCCTAGTTAAGCCTCTCCTGAGTTCTTGACCCACAGAAACTATGTGAAATAATGAATGTTTACTGTTTTAAGCTGTTAGGTTTGGAGGTGACTTGTTATGCAACAACTGAGAACTAATACAGGTTTGAGAGAATAAGTAGGTCCAACCTGGCTTGGTATCTAAGCCACATTCTTCTGACTACTTAGAAAATGCATATTTTGACCCTTCCCATGTATAGGTGTTGGAGTAGGAAATGGCAACCCACTCCAGTATTCTTGCCTGGAGAATCCCATGGACAGAGGAGTATCGTGGGCTATGGTCCATGAGGTTGCAGAGAGTCGGACATGACTGAAGTGACTTAGCATAGCACAGCACATGTATAGGTGTAAAGTTATTGCATTTGTCCCTTAGTTCTGAACCTGTAGAAAGGGGAGAAAGGAGGGTGAGGGAGATGTGGGGTACAGCAGACCACAGTTAGAGGTACAGTATTCCTACTGTATATCCTGCCAGGCTCCTCTGTCCATGAGATTTTCCAAGCAAGAATACTGGAGTGGGTTGCCATGCCCTCCTCAAGGGGATCTTCCTAACCCAGGGATCAAATGCACATTTCATTAAGCATGTCTCCTCCATTGGCAGGCGCGTTCTTTACCACTAGCACCATCAGGGAAGCTCCAGGAATAATTTGGGGAAAGAGAAAACCTGAAAAGATAATGTTTAAAAAGCTTTAAGAAACCATGTGTGACCCCACCCAGAAACTGTCAGCAAAAATACATGCTGCTGTTTACATTCTCGGGTCAGGCTTGTGGGGAATCCAGTCGTGTGAAAATTGTACAAGACAACAGGTGAAGCATGATTAGGTCATTTCCCCAAAGTTCACACCAAGAAGTGTAAGTGTATCGTAAGTGGCAGAGCTGCGAAGAGAATCGGTCTGGAAGGACAACCTCAAGCATTCGCAGTGGAAAGCAAAAGGAGTGCATGTCTACAGAAAGGACAATGCTTTGCCAATTAACTGCGTTTGAGGGCGAGTCTCATCGGCGATTTCTCTGCCCTCGGTTCCCCCCTGCCCTTCCCCCTCAACGCCCGCACCCCGTCTGTCTTTTTTGCCAAAACCATAATGGAGGAGTCTGGAACTTCAAGACCAACTTTTACAGGCTTATTTACTCTTAAAACATCCTTGAGGGTCCCCAGGGGAAGAAAACAGGAGGAAAAACCCAAAGATAAACACCAGGCAGGGCTCACAGAACACCGTGGAGAGTAGTCCGGGGTTCAGACCGCACCAGCGGCGCGCGGAGCAGCTGCGGGAGCCGCTGCAGTCGGATAATGCTTTTACCATCTCTCATTCTGCCCTGGGTCCCCGGCTGTCCCTGACCAGTCTCAGTCACAGCCCTCTTCTGCTTTAGGAATCTGTTCACCCAAACCGATTCAGCAGAGACAGAGGCCGAAATAATCTGAACAGGGGTAACAGGCGGGGCGGCTCAGCCACGTTGTCAGGAGACCACAGCAAGGACTTCTATTTCCTGCTATGTGTGAGGCTGTGGAGGGGCCGTTCCAGGCGGGGACAAGCTCAGGGGTCTCTGGGTCTGGCACCCCCAGCCAAGACTCTCTCGAATTCACCCAACTAGCCGGAAATGGTGTTTGAGCAAAAACGCCAACCAAACCGCTCCCTGATCAGTTAAACGATAAATCTCACAAGGCAAGCAACCGAGTCCCTGAATGTTCCGAGTCCCTTTCTCCAAGAGAGCAAAAACAAAGAAAATTCCTAAGTTACAAACAGGAGGGTCAGGCCTTCCAGTTCCAGACCTTTGCATGTGTTAAGCAAAACCAAGAATAAGCAAGAAAATATGCTATTTGAATTGCGTTCAAAACGTCTTTTACAAGTGAAGCAAATTACTTCTGCATGTTTCTGGGGCTCTGCAAAGAACAAATAGTGTTCTGCGTTTAATGGGTAAAATTACACAATTTGCTTTTAACAGTAAACCCGAGGCCACGGTGGCTTCAGATAGCATCGCGCTCCCGAGGGTTCCCTCCATGCAGCTCCACTCCCAGCAGTTTCCGAGCATTTTGGAGGCACGCAGTTGTTCTCATTGCTCGCAGCGTAGCGAGGAGACGCTGGGAGGGCGCCGGCGGGGACGCTGCCCTTTTCCTTGAAAGTTTTGCTTCTCTTCCTCCCGCGCCACTGGTTTCTGGGATTGGGTGTCTCTCTGATGTGCCCCGGTGGAAGCTGGCGGGGCACCGAGTCGTCCTGAGTTACAGATTTACCGTTAGGCTCCCGGGGGTCCCGCCCCTAAAGGTGGGTGCCAACTGCGCCAGGAGTCTCTGTGGCTAGGGCAGTCCCCGCGAGGTCTGGCTAGACGTCCCCAAGGCTCCACCTTTGCGTCCAAGCGTTCCGAGGAGCAGGCAGGAGGGCGGGCGCGGGAGGCGCGTCCGGGGACAGAGCGGCTGCCCCCCGGTCCTGGCCCCGCGCTGCCCGCGCGCCCCGCCCGCTACAGGCGTGTCGGTCCAGCAGGGGGCGCCAGCGCTGGCCTCTCGCTCTGCCCATCGGGGCGGGCGAGCCTGGGACCCTGCCTCCCTGCTTGCCCGCGGTCCGCCCCCCGCGCGCGTCCGGCCGGCCCTAGCCGAGCGGCGCATCCGGGCCGAGAGAGGAAGAGGACCGCGAGTTCCTCGAAAGGGACCTACTCGCCAAGCGCCCAGGAGAAAGGGCAGCGGACGCGCGGCCGACAGGGGTGGTGGCGCCGGATCCCCGCGCCCAGGCCCCTACGGCCCGCGGCATGGCCCGGGGCTCGGCGCTGCGGTGGCTGTGCGTCCCGGCAGTCTGGGCAGTCGCCGCGCTCTTGCTCTGCGTGTCCAGGGCCTCAGGTAGGACTCACCAGCCCGCATCCGCCCGGGCGCACCTCCTCCAAGCGCGGGCAGAGGGCTTGCCACTCGCGCGCCCGTCCCTTCCCTCGCGATGCTGCTCTCCCGCCGCCGCGCCGGCGCCGGTGCTCCTGGGTGAGGGACGCCTGGCGGGGGCCCCCCTCCCGTGCCCACCTCAGCCCGGCTCCGCATCTGCGCCCCGCCGCCCGGGGCTGCTTTCAATAAGGCGCGCTCCTGGGACGCCTAAGTGTTTCCAGAGGCTAGGGCGGGTGGCGCCGGCGCCCGCGAGGAGCCCCTAGCCGGGGGTTTCCGAGGGTCGTGAGTGTGAATGCGGTCGGCGCCCGGGTCCTCAGACGTGTCCGAGGTTCTCAGGACCATAACTCGGCCCTGATCCCCGAGGTTCTTTCCAGAGTTCCAGGTCCGCGGCGCCCGGGTCTGCGCCGACCTCTCCCCAGCGCCCGCGCCGCGGTGGGACGAGGCTCAGGGAAGGGGGCTCCCGATCCCCGCCCCTTGGTTGGAAGGGAATTTGGCTTCCCTTTTGTTGGCCCCTCACCCTCTCCGGCCCCGCCGAGAGGTGGCCAAAGCCGCGTTTCCTGTGCCTGGGGTCCGGGGTCCCCGGGCCGCCTTCCCGCTACTGGCGACCTAGCCTTTTTCGGGCTGGCTGGAGGGTGGGCCGGGCTCCCGGGTGGCATTCCCCTCGAGGGTCTCACGCTGTTGGGCTGCGTGGACCCCGGGGCGAGCAAGAGGTGCCATCACGTTCGGGGGAAGCTAGGGGAATCGGCCTAGGGTGCCACGCTGTCCGATACCCGCAGCACCCGCCTGCCCGCCCCCCGCCCCCCAGCCAGCCAGTTTCCCGCACCCTGCTGAAGCGAGGGAGGGCGGTGGAACCTCTAGGTTTGAAAGCTAAGGGGGTTCATCTCGTGACCTAGAAATGTGTGAGCCGCCCCTTACACCTAGATGGGTCTCCATGTATTGTGCCCCCTCCCCCCAGCATTTCTGCACGTAGGTGAGAATTAGACAAAAGGCAAAAGAAGGGGGCTTGGTGGTTTTCGTCTTCTGCTGCCAACTGCGCGCTCCAGGGATCCATCCAACGATTCAGGAATGCTGGGCAGCCTTTCCTGGGGGGGCGTTTGGGTTTAATACAAGAGCCATTACGTCACACATCCTTGGTTACTTGATTTGGGAAAGGGGTTTGAGTTTTTGTCGCTGTCCCTTAAAGCATTAAGCCGCTCAAGGTGCATGGTGCAAAGGTAAGTAAACCAGACCTAAATTAGTCTGTGCGTTTTTAAACAGCATCCCTCTGGATTTCTGCACCCCTTATCCCGCTAGAATCCCTCTCCCATTTCGAGTCAAGGGGTGCATTTGCTGCGCTGCGGGAGGGGAAAGAAGGGGCTGAACCCTGGGGACTCGACGGGCCATTGAACAGCGTTTGCGTGGTGGCCATGTGGGGGTTAATTGCTCTGCAAAACCCTACCGCGCAAACCTGTGGGCCAGCGGTTTTAGTTGCATTTGCCAGGGGGGGAGTTGTAAGTGGGTGATGTGAGAAAAGGTGATGGGTCTGTTCCTTAAATCAAGATTGCAGCAAGACTGGAAAGTTGCTTGCGTTTTGGGCAGAGGAGTTTAAACATTGCCGTAGTTTCCAGTAGAGTTAAAGAAATCTCCGAGGAACAAAGCAATCCAGTATCACTTTCCTTAATTTCTGAACCCTGTGTGGAGGTAATTTTCTTTCTCCAGTAAAATAATAGTAATTTCTATAGGGGAGGGAGAAGGGAAGCTGTTTATAATTCTCTTTCTTCCGGAATGTTAGGTGAGGTGGAAATGCAAAGAATAAGATCATATTCAAACTATGAATACAATTTTATGATTATAGGAGATTCAAGTATTTGGCATCTTTTCTGCTGTAAAGAGGAATCCCTGTAATCTGAGTGTATTTTATACACAAAACATACGTTACTATGTAAAAACAAGGAGACGTTATTCTAAAAGGATTTATAAGTTCTATGTTTTTATAGAAGGCTCTGTTCCTTAGGGAGACAAATGCTTAATTTTGGACTGTGTCCCCTGCGGGGGTTTGACAGGCTGGGAGTTTTGGGGTCTTCTCACCCCTGATTTTGACAGTGTAATGTTTACTTCTGGCCCAGATCCCTGGAGTGATGGCGGTAATAAATAATGATAGTGATCCATTTGAAAGTAAGTAAATGAAAACATCTTGAAAAAGAAGACTTTGTGGAAAAAGAAAAGTTTTTATATACTCTTTAGTAAGGCAACATGTTTTTCTTATTATGGCTGTGTACCAAGAAAAGAAGAAGCACACATTTGAAAATTTTCAGTATCTAATAGCAAAAGCAAGTTTAACCCTCAGGTCTACTTGATAAAAATGTCATCTGGACAATGACCACCACTATGTGGCATTCAGTGTGAGCTGCTGTCATGAACTGTTTATAAAAGTGGTGATAGGTGACCGAGGGGCTCTGGTCAATGAGGCTGAACTCTTGATTAGTAAAGCAAATCACAGTTAGAAAACTTACAAGAAATCTGCTTAACATTTTGCCTTCAGAAAAGCAACATGGGTTAAAAAGGTACATTGACCAGGAGTTCTGGGTGACTGCAATCTGCAGATTTGCAAGGCAATGTGAAATACCATTTCTATTTTTATTGTTAAACCGTTTTCCTCTTGTTTGGTCAAAATACCACTGTAATTGTGTGTGTCACTCTCTCTGTTGTGGTGTGATTTGGCACGAATTGCTTGTCCCCTTGTTTTGTTTGGTCTTTCTACCCTCGGTTTAACCTTTGAGACATTGAAACCTGGAAGAATTTGGGTTTCACGCTCTAGCTTTTGGAATCTTTTCCTGAGATCAGTGCGATAGAAATGCAGGGGCAGGGGAACAGCCTGTCTGACAGGTAGGGAAGATTAATCCCCTAAAGAGGGATTTCTAAAGCCAAGTTGCAGCTGGAGAAGTGGCACTCCTTTAAAATGCATTCCACGGGAGGCCAGGATGTGGAAAGTTATCATTATCATTGAAATGGGAACTGGGTGTGAAAGGCTTGGCCCCCCCTAATCTGCAGAGCCCTGGCCACTCTGATTCGGTATAGGAGATTTGTGCACGCTAACTCTTTTCTCTGGGCGAGGTGCAATTATATACTTTCAAATTGTAGTCAGGGAAAAGAAAGTGGGTTACTAACTGTTATCTGCACCCAAGGTTTGTAACCATCTTCTAAAACATTCATTGATGTCAGGGGCCTTTTGGTGTTTATCTGGTCCATTCCCTGGGAAGCTGGAGGGGGACCGGTAGCATCCTGTGGTTACCACCTGGAGAAGGGCTGGGCTGTGAAGCTTTGGGTTTACTCTGCTGTCCCCCATGGGGATCCCCTGTGATATGTTCCTGGTAAAGAAAGTTGCCATTAAGATACTTCTTTCTTTGGGGACCCTGTGGTGACTGCCAGGTGGACCCTATGAATACCATGCCTGGAAGGTGTCAAAGCAAAGGAACCAGAGGGCTTTGCTTTGCAGAGAAGTGTTGCTGATTAAGTCCGGATTTTACATGTCCAATAGCAATTTCATGAAAGGACAGCTGGACTGAAAGAACTGGTTTTGAAAACATTGCTTCTCAGGGACTCTATGAGTTCTTTGGTTTTGAATTGTAGAACTGTCACTGTAAAAGAATTGCTACGATTTTGGTGGGTAGTGCAGGCTTCTTGAGTTTTGAAGTAAAAATCTAAGCAACAAGACCAGTTCTGGCCCACTAATTATGGCTGCAGCTGGCTGGGGTTTGTACCAGCCTTCTTCTAGTATGTATTTATTTGGTTTTGCGGAGGAGCTTGCCAAGTTGGAAATAAGGGCGGGACAGCTCTGCTTGCATGTGCTGTTGTCATAAAATATGTCTGGGGTGTAATCTGTTTAAAATCGTATTAACAGAGTGGCCAAGGAATTGTTGAACAGTGTTGGGAAAACTTTTCAAAAGTAAAGAATTGTGTTGGTGTTATTTGTACCATTTTGGGAATTTCTGTGTTTTTTTTTTTTTTTTCTTCCCCCAAGTTCTACTGAAAGAACCAAAAAATCAAAAGCCAAAGGGAAGGAAATAATTAGAGAAAAATCTAGCCTGATTAGACTAAGTGACTTGTCCTCTAGAAAGTCTTAAGTTCCAGTGAGATGTGGTGTGTGTGTCTTTAATTGTCATTGGAATGAGCTTCAGTAAGCGCTCAGTCACTTTTGAGATGTTATCTGCGGAGAATGTGGCAGCTTCTTCAAATCCTCCTGGAGTGGGGGAAGGTTTCCCCCAAGTCTCCAACGCTTCCAGCCTCGTGGTTTCCACACCGCGGTGCCCTCCTGGAGGGCTAGTTAACCCAATGTGCACTTAAATGACAGAAATCCTCATTGTAGGCTTCTGCTGTGGAGTGTAGGTACATGTAACTATTCAGGTTAAAATTAATTAAACTGAACTGAAATGAAAGGTTCAGTCCCTCCACTGCAGTACCTGCATTTCAGGGGCCTCATGTTTGTGGTGCTAGTGGTAAAGAACCCGCCTGCCAATGCAGGAGACACAAGAGATGTGGGTTTGATCCTTGGGTTGGGAAGATCCCTGGGAGGAGGGCATGGCTACCCACTCCAGTATCCTTGCCTGGAGAGTCTCATGAACAGAGGGGCCTGGAGGTCTACAGTCCTTAGGGTTGCAGAGTCGGACATGACTGAAGTGATTTAGCATGCAAATGTGGCAGAGGGCTGGGATGGTCCAGGAACGCAGAGGACATTTCCAGCGTTGCAGGAAGCCCCGTCCACCGCCACTCCTCTTTGCCCGGCGTCTCTGTGTTAGACGCTGTTGCTTCAGGAATGTCTCGTGGAGTCCAGAGTCAGGGAGGGGCTCACCTTCTGTTTGTTGACTGTGGGAGATTTGATGGCAAAAATCAACTGGATTGACTGACTCTAATCTGTAGAATTAGATTAGAGAGGATTCCCCAAGAGGGGCTTAGCAAAGGTGTGATGACCAATACACTTACATACCATA